AAAAATAGCCTCTTCAACAAATGGTGTTGGGAGAACTGGACAGCCACGTGCAAAAAAAATGAAACTTGAGAACCAACTTACACCATATACAAAAAATAAATTCAAGGTGGATAAAAGACTTAAATATAAAACATGACACCATTAAAGTCCTAGAGGAGAACGTAGGTAAGAAAATCTCAGATATTTCACGAAGAGACTTTTTTAATGACGTGTCCCCTAGAGCAAGGGACATAAAGGAAAGAATAAACAAATGGGACCTCATCAAAATTAAAAGCTTCTGCACAGCTAAAGAAAACAGTATGAAAATTAAAAGAGAACCAACTGTATGGGAAAACATATTTGCCAATGACACCTCAGACAAGGGTCTAATCTCCAAAATATATAGAGAACTTACACGACTGCACTCTAAGAAGACAAGGAATCCAATTAAAAAAGTGGGCAAAGGACTTGAATAGACACTTCTCCAAGGAGGACATACAGAGGATCCAAAGACACATGAAACGATGTTCAATATCGCTAGCTATCAGAGAGATGCAAATTAAAACCACAATGAGATACCACTTCACACCAGACAGAATGGCCATCATAAACAAAGCAACAAACAACAAGTGTTGGAGAGGTTGTGGAGAAAAGGGGACCCTAGTGCACTGTTGGTGGGACTGCAGACTGGTACAACCACTATGGAAAGCAATATGGAACTTCCTCAGAAAACTAAAAATGGATCTGCCTTTTGACCCTGCAATTCCACTACTGGGACTCTATCCTAAGAATACTAAAACACCAATTCAAAAGAACCTATGCATCCCAATGTTCATAGCAGCACAATTTACAATAGCTAGATGCTGGAAGCAACCTAGATGCCCATCAGTAAATGAATGGATCAAAAAACTATGGTACATTTACACAATGGAATTCTATGCAGCAGAAAGAAAGAAGGAGCTCCTACCCTATGCAACAGCGTGGATGGAGCTGGAAAACATTATGCTAAGCAAAACAAGCCAGGCAGTGAAAGACAAATACCATATGATCTCACCTTTAACAGGAACCTAAATAACAAAACAAAGAAACAAGCAAAATGTAACCAAAGACACTGAAATAGAGGACAGGCTGATGGTGACCGGAGGGGAGAGAAGAGGGAATTTAAGGGGACAGTGGGAAGGGTTCACAGGAACAAACTTAAAGGACACATGGTCATAGACTAAGGGGAGGGTGGTAATGGGAGGGAAGGGGGGCGGGTGGGAGGGGGAACTGGATTGGGAGTAAAAAGGAGAAAACTGTATATGAACAATGATTAATAAAAAAGATCATATGCTACAACGAGGTAGATTCATCCCAGGGATGCAAGGATGGTACAAAAAAAAAAGAAAAAAAAAAAAGAAGCAGTCAATGAGACCAACCAGACCAGTGCACTAAGACAAAAAAATATGGCCCAAATGAAAGAACAGAGCAAAACTCCAGAAAGAGAGCTAAGCAATAAGGAGATAGTCAACCTACCTGAGGTAGAGTTCAAAACCCTGGTAATCAAAATGCTCACAGAACTGACTGAGCTTAGTCGCAAAATGAAAAAAACAAATGAAAGATACCCAAAGTGAAATAAAGCAAAATATACAGGGAACCAACAGTGACAGGAAGAAAACCAGGACTCAAAGCAGTGATTTGGAACAAAAGGAAGAAATGATCATCCAACCAGAACAGAATGAAGAAACCAAAAAAAAAAAAAAAAAAGAAGAGAAGCTTAGTAGCCTCTGGGACAACTTTAAACATTCCAATATCTGAATTATGGGGGGGCCAGAAGGAGAAGAGGAAAGGCAAGAAATCGAAAACTTATTTGAACAAATAATGAAGGAGAACTTCCCCATTCTGGCAAAGGAAATAGCTTTCAGGAAGTCCAGGAAGCCCAGAAAGTCCCAAAGAAAAACACACCAAGGCACATCATAATTACATAAGCCAAGACTGAAGATAAAGAGAGAATCTTAAAAGCAGCAGAAAGAATGGAGTTACCTACAAAGGAGTTCCCATAAGACTGTCAGCTGATTTCTCAAAGGAAACCTTGCAGGCAAGAAGGAGCTGGAAAGAAGTATTCCAAGTCATCAAAGGCAAGGACCTACATCCAAGCAAAGCTTTCATTTGGAATGGAAGGGCAGATAAAATGCTTCTCAGATAAGGTCAAGTTGAAGGAGTTCATCCTCACCAAGCCCTTATGATATGAAATGTTAAAGAGACTTATCTAAAAAATTGGAGAAGATCAAAAACTTTGAACAGGAAAATGACAACAAACTCAGAATTATCAACAAATGAACCTGAAAAAAAGAAAGAAAGACAATGAAAACAAAATCTAAGCAAACAACTAGAACAGAAACAGAATCAGAGAAATGGAGATCACATGGAGGGTTTTCAGTGGGGAGGGGGAAGGGAGGAATAGCAGGGAAAAGGTACAGGGAAGAAGAAGCATAATTGGTAGGATTAAAATAGATACAGAGAGGTCAAAAAATGGTATAGGAAACAGAGAATTCAAAGAACTTATCAGTACAACCCATGGACATAAACTAAGGGGGAAAATTCTGAAGGGTTGAGGGGTGCAGAGTGGAGGGGGCATAAAGGGGGAAAAATTGGGAAAACTGAAATAGCATAATAAATAAAATATACTTTAAAATAACTGTTTAAAATAATTTTATGGTGGATATACAATACAAAAGATGTAAATATGACATCAAAATAATAAAATATGGGGGGAGTAAATACGTAGAATTTTTGTATATGATTGAAATTAAGTTTCCGTTAGGTTAACACAGACTGTAGTGAGTATATTTAATGTCAGTCTGGACACAAAGCAAAACCCTGTAGCAGATACACAGGAGAGAAAGAGAAAGGAATCAGAGCTACCACTGTAGAAAATCATCAAATCATACAGGAAAATAGTAAGACAGGAAGGAAGGAATATGGGAAGTACAAAATAGCTACAAGAATATTTACAAGTCCTTCCCTATCAATTATTACTTTAAATGCAAAAGGATTAAATTCTCCAATCACAAGACCTAGAGTAGATAAATGGATAAAAAAAATGAAAACAAACCAACAATAAACTCCAAGACCAGACTACTTGCTGCCTACAAGAGACTCACTTCAGCTTTAAGGACACAGATAGACTAAAGGAAACAGATGGAAAAATATTCAATGCAATCGGAAACTGAAAGAGAGCAGGATTAGCTGTAATTGTATCAGACAATGGAGCCTGAGCCTGTGACCATCAGCTCCAGGGCTTGGGAGCAGCAGGAGTGAGAGTGGGCACAGGAGGAAGGGGAAGAGAGAAGGGGACACGGAAACTGGGGTGGGGTCCTTCCCAAAGCAGCAGCAGACTCGAGGGAGAAATCGCTGGTTCTAGGTCCCAGCCCTGGCTCTGTTTCCAAGTGCTGTGTGAGTGTGGATTTGGAAGCTGGAATGAAAAGAGAAAGAGGCCAGGGTGCGGCTGAGATTTCAGCCTGGTGACTCAGTGTGAGGAAGGCCAAAATGATAGAAGTCAGGAGAGGGAATAGGCTTGGGCTGAGGAATAAGCCTGCCCTCCTCTTGGGGTTCACCTGGAAAACAGAATCCTCCTTGGAACTTTCTACCACTCTGACCCCATGGAACTTCAGAATCACTGAGACCAGCACCTGAGCTGCGTCTGAGTCAGGACCCTGTTACATATGGCACCTGGCTGGGTCAGTTTCACTGACTGGCCTGCATGGGTCTCAGTCTACCATCTGTCAAATCAGAGGGCATGTGATCTCAACTCTGCAATGTTCCTGAAAGATCATTTCTAGGCCTACTGGCCCCACCACCCCATCCTGGCTCCTCTGTCCTCCTTATGCAGCTTCCTGTCCCAGGTCCTCCTGCACTACAGCCTCACCTGGGTGCACACCCACTGGCTGCCTTGCAGACCCAACTGGGGCTTTCATGCCAACTCAGCAAGCCTCTTTCCAGCTCTGTCCATCTGTCAGGCAAGAGTTTCAAGTTCTTTCTAAGTCCTGGAGGGGCCCCAGGATTCAGGGTCATAGCGTTCCATCACTGAGGCAGAGGGGAACCCTGTATGATAGGTCTGTTTGGAACTGGGGGTGGGTAGTGGGGTGGGAGACTAGGCTGTGGGAAGAGGGTAAGGAGGATGATGCTGGTGAGCAAGGAGGGCAGGAGCCAGGGCACTGATGCTGGGGTCCTCCAACCAGGAAGAACCAGGAAGCAGAGACCCTGATTACTGAGAGAGGCCAGGAGGGACCAGTGCACCCACTGCAGCCTGCCCCAGCCCCTCAAGCAGAAGTACCCTCTGACACTGCCGGGCACAGGTTCTGACCTGGCTCCAGGAAGTTTGCATCTGTGTCCTGGCTCTGCCTCTCCCTCCCCATGTAACTCATGACTCTTTGTGCCTCAGCTCCCCCCACAGGAGGCTAAATCCTCTGCCACCCAAGGCTGCTAACAGTAGTAACATCCACAGAAGCAGCAAGAGTAGCAGCAGAACAAGTTATGGGCACTGGATTCTCTCTTTGATTCTCCCACAGCCCAGGAGGTAGGCTCTTACTCGCTACTTTTACAGATGGGGAGACAAGTGTAGAGAGTAGTGAAGCCACTTGTCTACTGTGGTGGTTCTGGGAAGGAAGGTGCTTTTTGCCAACACCCCTCTGTGCTTATAGCACAAGGCCCAGCAAGTCCCCGCTTGGGAGGTGGATGTGAAACCCACATCCTTCCTGCAGGTGCCTTCTGAGTGTCAGCCACTGGTCCCTCTGAGTCCTCTGAGCTCTCCCTCCCTAGTGTTGTAGTGACCACATGGGTTTCTAGGGATGTCCTTGGCATAAGTGAGGTCCACTGAGGCTCCCTTTCCACAGCAAGCCTCTTAGCTCCAGTCTAGCCTGAGCCTGGATCTCCCTCTCTAACAAGGAAGTCCTCAGTCACTGTTCAGAGGAAGGTCTGGCAGGGGGTCCATGTCGCAGGCAGAAGATGGACAGCACACCGAGGGCACTTTGTCTACCCACCTGACTCCAAGGCTTCCTCTTTCGGGACTCGGGCACACAGATCGCTCAGGCCCATCAGCTTCCAGGTCTGCAGGGCCACGTCCCAGGCCTGCTGCTCCCCGTATTGAGCCACCAGGCGTGAGGCCACCTCCATGCTATCCACCTTCTCTGGCTGAGTTGTGGGCACACCAGGAGGTTGCTTGTGGAGATTCTGGTCAGGCAGCAACTGCTGGAACAACTTCAGCTGCTCCTTCATCAGTAACTGCAGGTTTTGGGCCAGCTGCTGCTGGACACTATTGGCCATCTCTGTTCCTTTGAGCTTATCTGAAGCATGGGCTCTGTCTGCTCCACTGGACTTCTTAGTCCAGGCTGGGAGGGCCTTGGGGACATTCACTGTGGAGAGGGTGCAGTAAGCGGCATCAGACAGGCAGAGAATAGCACTCATCCTTGGGCCCAACTATCTCCCAGTGCAAGACTCCACTGGGGTTGTTATCATCACCTGGTAAACTGCTGTTCAGCATTGAGAACCCACTTTGTAAGCCCCAGGGCATCTGCCAATGGATGGTTTTGGGGGAAGGGAGGTGGAGGGGAGAGGCAGGGAAAGGCACTGGAAGGAAGAGTACAGAGGGGCTGGGGACACTGGGAGGGGTCAGGTTACTGAGCAGCTGGGTCAGGGCTGGGGCATCAGGGGAGTGCAGGGGAGGGATGGGGGATGGGATGTTTGGGACACTCACTGTTCTGTGCTCCTCAGTCTTCCTTCTCCCTGGTCCTGGAGTCCTGGAAGCAGCCTTGTGCTGCGATGCTGACAGGAGGTTGGGGGGTGGTGTGGGAGCACAGGGTGGGCTTTCAGAGTGCAGAGTTAGCTCTGAGCTGCACACTCCTGTCTCCTTAGATTTCTCCTTGCCTGGGACAGCAAGCAGGAAGAACACTCTCAGGACTGAACAAAGGCCTTTACAGGAAACCTCATGGGGGTGTGGCCAGGCGAGGGGAGGGGCCAGCAGAGTGCTGGGCAAAGCAGGAATTTAGAGTCAGAGCTCCAGACAGGCCACACTGCAGTCAGGCCAGGGGCAGAAGTTCAGTTGGGCCTCTGTGCTGGGTGCAGGCCAGTAACACGGAGGGACCCACATCTTCACATGCTCACCCTGCATGTCCATCACCCAGAGCCTGCCCACAGAGCCAGGGCTGAGGCTCTTCAGGAAACTGGGTGTGTGGCAAGGCACAGGTCTTAGGATGGGTGGGCCCCCTAAATCTCACAGGGCAGCTGCTTATTGGGGTACCACAGTGGGTCAGGGAGCAGCTTTCCCAGCCTCTCATAGTTTTCTGGGCTCCTGAGGCCCAGTGCATTCCTGCCTCCCTGCAGGGGCCATTGAGATTGCATTCTGTCCAGGGGCCATCTGCCTTGGGGGCTGCTCAGCTCTCAAGTAGTAAACATCTACCTGAAAGAAGAACAGCCCCTGCCTCAATGCAAAACCAGGCCTCTGGGGAGTTTTTTGCTTGTTTTGTAGAATTGGCAGAGCTGTGCACGCCAGATGGAGCCCATTGTGAGGGACAGACAATGTCCCTCACATTGTCTAACTGATTGCCTGTGTGTAGCAGTTTCTGTGGATGCTTTGAACTGACCTGGTCTGGAGAAGCCCAGGGAGAAGGAGCTTCAGCTCATTGCTCACTGGGCACAGACCCCCTGGGTGCCTGATTCATTTCTCTGAGCCTCAGTTTGCTCACTTATTAAATGGGACATTCCATTTAGGTTTGGCAAGAGGCTCAAATTAAGCAAAAGATATTAGTAACCTTTAAAATTATTATATAATGTTATTGTTTTAATGACCAACAAACACACTGGAGGACATTCAACAGCCAGACCTGGCAGGAGTGACAGGTGCTGCCCTAGAGGTGGGCTGAGCAGCTGCATCTGAGCCCTCCATGAAGGGCCCTGAGACTCCGTGGGGGGGAGGTGAGGCCTGGAGGAGGGGTGTGATATTGTTTTATTTCCTCCTAATGCTGACTAACGCTGACCCTGGCTCTGGGCACCGCTGGGTGTCCTATGGCTCAGTTCACTCTGACACTACTCGCAGTCAGTGCAGGCCCCACGGGTTTAAGGGTCCAGTCCCTCAGGACTGCTCCCCACCACAGTTTTTAGGTCATCCACCTTTATGTACAAATTGGCAAAAAATCCAGAGGCCTTAGGGACCCCCTCTCAGATAATTTGCTTGAATGACTCACAGAACTCAGAAAAACACTTTACTTACTGGCTTATTAGAAAGGATAGAAGAACAGCCACCTGGAAGAGGAGCACAGGGAGAGGTTTAGAGGGTTTTATGGAGGTTTCATTACTAGGCATATCTGAACTCAGTGGTCTTGGTGACTGAGTTAATCTCTAGCCCCTGTCCCTGTAGGCTCTGCTTTCGTCTTTCTGGTGACCAGGCTCCGTTCTGAACTTACCTAGAGGCCCTCACTCCTCTCACTAGTATACAGAGGACTCTTATCATTCCAGAGACCCCAAGGGTGTGCACAGCTGTGTGCCAGGAACATGGGACATAACACAAGGTTTATTTTTTGTTATAGCACAAGGGTGCTAGTAGAATTCTGAGTGGAAACCCCCTTCTTAGAGGTCAAGGTCAGGCAAGAGAGGCTGGTAGAGCAGAAGAGTAGCAGAGAAATGTGCCCCTCAATATCCCTCTCCACCCACCTCCCCAGCCAAGGGCAAAGCCCAAACACCTGTCCCTGTATTGGGGTTATGTGTCTGATCTGTAGGTATGACATGGGAGCTTCAGTGCCCAAAGCTATCAGCTATGGAGTTTGGAAATCTTTGACTAATCATTTAATTTAGGACACAACTAGGTGGCCAGCAGAAGTCGGTATGGATGCCCTGAGAAGCAACGGACCTTGGTTAGATGTCATAGCAGGTCATCAGCTAAGTGGGCGGGGAGCCAGGTCTCTGCACACACAGGCCAAGGACTTTTTCACTCAGTGCATCTGTTGCATTCTAGGTCCATGGAGTTGGAGGAAAGGATATAGTTTTTGGAGTCAGTAGGCTCAGGTCTGCCTTTAGCAGTCTTGCAATTATGGGCAAGGCAGTGACCTACCAGGTCTCAGTGTCTACACCTGTAAATTGGGGAAAACAAGCCTATTTCATGGTTATGAAACCACATAAATCTCATGGGTGCTGTTGGCACAGCTGTGGGAACCATAGGTCAGTGCTGAATACTGACCCATCCCTTTTCTTCTTATTTTGCCTGCCAACATCCTACTCATTCTTTAAGGGTCAATGCAGATGATGCCTCTTCCTCGAAGATTTTCCTTCTTTGATTCTCATCCTACAGTTTATTAGGCAGACCCCAAGATGCCTTGCAGTTCAACTGTCTCTACCTGGAGGCTGGACAATGCAATGGAAAGTATAAGGGTTTAGAATCTGTTGGGCCTGGATCCTGAGGCTGCCTCTGCTACCAGCCAACCTTGGGCAATGCCTACTCTTTATCTTGTTTGTAAAGTGAGGAAAACACAACATATGTTTTACTCTAAAACATGCCAACTTGTTGGATAGGTAACATTGGATGCACATAAAGAAGTCCTGCCCTGAGAGGCCTCACATGTGCCTCCCAAGGTAATGCAGATGTGTTTTGGGACAGAGACCTGGAAGCAGAATCCAGAGGTTATGCACCTTCTACAGTTTAGTGAAACCATCTGATAATAGGAAAAATAAAATGGAATAAGCATTGCTAAGACAGTCATTATAAATAGTTAGGAGGCTGTTATGGACCTGGGACCTACACACCTGTTCCTAATCTCTCAGAGCTGCTCAGCCTGATGCTCAGCTCAGCTCAGGCCGAGCCATAACCATCCTGGAACAACTATTACTCCACGGACACATATGGACCTTCTTTCTTACAGTTTTTGTCCATTTTGTTTGCATGTTGGACCTAGTGCCAACTGATGGTCACTGGCATCATTTCAATGCCAAGGGGAATACCAATTTGAGGTGCAGGAAAAGAAACTGTGTTCAGTGCAAAACAGCTCAATTGTGATACAGATCGGCTGTGAAAAAAACATGCCTGTGAGGAGGCCATGGCCAAATGGCCTTGGGGCCTGGTCCTCTCCAACTAGAGAGATGTGATATGTCCCTTACTGTTTGGCTCTGTGCAGTCTGCTCTGCCCTCCTCTGTGCAGGTCTGCTCTGGCCTGCAGTGGTCTGCTCATTCTGCTCTGGCACTGCTGTTTGAGCTCCAGCCAGGGAAGCAGATCTTTGGTGGGAAAACACAGTGTACTCCCAGAGCTTCTGGGAAGTGACTTCCATGGACAGAAGTTCCTGGCCCTGGTCCTTGATTGACTTCATGCAAATGAGGTCTACAAATCCTCACAGTTTGATTGATCCAAAAGTACTGTCCTGTCAGAATGGAGTCACCTCTGATTGCCTGCTGACATCTAAGGTCCAAGGAAGGCCAATGGAAGATATAGCTGTAGCAGCTCCGATTGGACAGGGAAAGCTTCAGTCCTATTGGCTGAAATAGGAATCCAGGAGCTCCTTTACAAGGGCTGGCTCAGACAGCAGGAACACAGTGCAGGCAGGGAGTTCAGTCCAGGAGGCAGGCAGCTTAGTGCAGGCTGCTCTCTGAATGCAGGTTGCATGAGAAGCCCCTCATGCACATAGAATTGGCTGCTAGCCTTTCAAAATGACACACTAAGGTCTCTAAACTCTATTTCCCCATCTGCTCAGCTAACCCCAAAGCTAGCAGAGCACTGGACAGTTGCATGTCCTTCTTAATTGAAACAGCTTCCTTAAGCTAGTTTTTGTTTATGAAAGATGAGTCCTAGATCTCATGTGCCTGAAAAGCAATTGTGCTACTTTCTGTTATTTCTTCAGATGTTTTGAGAACTCATTCGTGTTAAGCCAATGAAATAGGGCCCTTTTACAATTAAATGTGAATTTACGAATATATGTTGGCAATACTACCTGGTGGCAAAATATACCTTATCAGTAATATACAAACAGAGACATACATAAACAGATATCACAATCATACAAAACAAAGGTAAAATTATGGATTCAAATATGTTTTCTGGCAGTTGGACTAAGTTAAGGTTTTGTTCTGGTGGCCAAAGTTTTTTGTGCTGTAGGAATTTCTTTAAAGCCTATTCTAAAATCCAAGAAGGCATTCTATTGTCTGACAGGCTTGAAATCCTCTACTTTAAAGATTCTCCTTAAGGAGGGAGGCATAGGTATATACACTGTGCCTCCTCGCACAGTCAAAATAAGGACAAAAAACATTTAAAAACATAACCAGAACTGACAGAATATCGAACAGTGTGGAAGTCCAACAACCAAGGAGTTAAAGTAGGCACATTCATCCAGCCCGTAGGAGGGGTGGAGTTGGGCAAGCAGCCTGAGGGGGTAGTGGCAAAGCAGTGGCTGGTGGACCTCGGGTGCTAAAGGCAGCAGTTGGCAGACCCAGCAAAGTGGTGGATTGTGGAGCAAGACACAGTGCACAAGGAGTCTGGCTGACCAGATGGTCCCACATTCACACGCAGATAAACCAGGTGAAACTGGGGAGCAAGACAGACAGAGCAACCCAGGGTCCCAGCGTGGGGAAATAAAGCCTCAAAACACCAGTTGAAAACACCTGTGGGGGTTGGGTTGCTGGGAGAAACTCCAAGCCTCACAGGAGAGTATGTAGGAGAGACCCACAGGGTCCTCAAACGTACACAAACCCACCCACATGGGAATCAGCACCAGAAGGGCCCAATTTGCTTGGGGGAATTGGGGAAAGTGACTGAAATCCGGCAGAGAGTGGAGCAAGCACCATTGTTCCTTCTCCAACACTTGCCCCACACACAGCATCACAACCCAGCAACTAGGTTGCCCCACCCTGGTGAACACCTAAAGCTCTGCCCCTCACTATGTCACAGGTGCGTCAAGACAGAAAAAAAAATGGCCCAAAGGAAAGAACAGACCAAAGCTCCAGAAAAAATACAACTAAGTAATGAAGAGATAGCCAACATGTCAGATGCACAGTTCAAAACACTGGTAATCAGGATGCTCACAGAACTGGTTGAATTTAGTCACAAATTAGATGAAAAAATGAAGGCTATGCTAAGTGAAATAAAGGAAAATGTACAGGGAACCAATAGTGATGGGAAGGAAACTGGGACTCAAATCAATGGAATGGACCAGAAGGAGGAAAGAAATATTCAATCAGAAAAGAATGAAAAAATAGGAATTCAAAAAAATGTGAGGAGAGGCTTAGGAACCTCCAGGACATTTTTAAACACCCCAACATCCAAATTATATGGGTACCAGAAGGAGAAAAGGAAGAGCAACAAGTGAAAAGTTATTTGAACAAATAATGAAGGAGAACTTCCCCATTCTGGCAAACGAAATAGACTTTCAGGAAGTGCAGGAAGCTCAGAGAGTCCCAAAGAAGTTGGACCCAAGGAGGAACACACCAAGGTACATCATAATTACCTTGGCCCAAGATTAAAGATAAGGAGAAAATCTTAAAAGCAGCAAGGCAAAAGGAGAGAATTACCTACAAAGGAAAGGGTTCCCATCAGACTGTCAGCTGATTTCTCAAAGGAGACCTTACAGGCAAGAAGGGGCTGGAAAGAAGAATTCCAAGTCATCGAAGCCAAGGACCTACATCCAAGATTGCTCTATCCAGCAAAGCTTTCATTCAGAATGGAAGGGCAGATAAAGTACTTCTCAGATAAGGTTAAGTTAAAGGAGTTCATCATCACCAAGCCCTTATTTTATGAAATGTTAGAGGGACTTATCTAAGAAAAGAAGATTAAAAAAAACATGTATAGTAAAAGGACAGCAAACTCACAATTATTAACAACCACACCTAAAGCAAAACCAAAAGAAACTAAGCAAACAACTAGAACAGGAACAGAACCACAGAAATGGAACACATGGAGGGTTAGCAACAGGGGAGTGGGAGGAGGAGGAGGGGGAAAAGGTACAGAGAATAAGTAGCATAGATTGTAGGTAGGAAATAGACAGGGGAGGGTAAGAATAGTATGAGAAATGAAGAAGCTGAAGAACTTATATGTATGACCCATGGACATGAACTAAAAGGGGGGAAGTGGGTGGGAGAGGGTGTACAGGGTGGAGGGGAGTGAAGGGGGGAAATGGGACAACTGTAATAGCATAATCAATGAACTATATTAAAAAAAAAAGATGGAAGCTCAAACACAGTAACAGCACTGAGTCCAGACTGGGCTACCTAGACTCAGGAAAGGAAGTCAGGGTAACAGTGTGGAGCCCAGGTGGGGCTGCTTTGGCTCCCTGAAAAGTTAGGCATGAGGAGGTTTTCAGAGCTTTGGAGAAAAAATGTAAAATTATGTGCCTGAGTAAAAGTGGTAGAAGGTGAAAGGTGCACATTGGGTCTTTAGCCTTGAGGGTATTTGCCTGCAGGAGAGAATTTTAGGGGAGGTCTCAATCACAACATTCATCAGCTTCCCAGGTGTGTCCTATAATATGCTGATGCATCAAAGTGAGGTATAGTGGGGTGTGGGGTCATTCTCTGCTCAGCTTCCTCTCTATGTTGCATTTGTCTGAATCTGATTGGACTTTTTAAATTCTCCTGATTTTATTCATCTAGGGGTTTCACTGTCACTAATGGCACAAACTGGGTCTGTGCTATCTCTCTCCCTGACTAAGGTGATTCAGGGTACCCAGTGTCTGGTTCGGGAGGAGAGCTGTGAACCATCTGCTCCAAAGTGGCTTTAGTTAGGGAGGGTAGGAATTTGTGATTTCTTATCTGGCTTTAATTGCTCAGCTGTTCATTTAACTGCTTTTTCTCTGTTTCCCTCATTCCACTGTCAAGGAGTTTTTCTAGGTTCTCACTGACCTGCCTCAACAGAGGTGGCGTGGCAGGAAGGAGAGGCTGACCCAGACACCCTGCCTGCCATGACCCTGTGAACCTGTGGCCCCGACAACCATCACAGCCCCAGCTGGGAGTTAAAACTTGGAGGACAGTGTCTGGGACAGGCCCTGAGCAACCAGGCCCCACCATTAGCTTCCTGTGGAGAAGAGCAGAGCTTCTTTAGGAGGATCTGGATTTGCCCTTGAGAATGAAGTAAACTAGAATGTATACATGGGCTCTGTCCTGTGCAATGTGATGCCCATTGCAAGGCAAATAGGTTTGTCCTGAGAATGTTCTTCCATGCTTCTCACACATTTACAGGAGGGCTCTGGCTGTTTGGTGAGGAAACAAGCTCTGTGACATACTGGCATATCTTTTGTCTCTTAATAACATGAGGACTTCAAATTCAGAATGCAGTCATATTCCTGCCACATGCAGCAGAAAACTGCCCACAGGGCAGCTGGTCTGGTTTACATTTAAATAGCAATTCATTGTGCTGCTTCCTTGTCCTTAAAGGAGGAGCACCAGAGTCCTGGGTGCAGAGTCCTTGTGATATTTCTGCTTCTGCACAGGCTCATCCTACCTGGGACCAGAAAGCAGCCACAGCTCCCTGAATCTCAGGAAAAGAACATTCTTTTCAAGTACAGGTGTCCCGCTAAACCCCACATTCATTAGCAGACATCTCCGAGACTCAGATCCAAAGTTCAGGAGCTCCCTCAGTCCGAGGAAGGTCCGAAGAGTCGGCTAAATGTGTGGAACATGTGAGCATGTGGCCTGAGCAATGTATCAGAGTCTACGAGGTGGCTCCAGTGCCTGTGTTCATGAAGCTGTCGGGACAGCTGTGACAGGGGTTGTCTTTTCCCTTCTTTAATGTTATTAATATTTTTTGATGTGTGTGCCCTAACCCCTTCTGATTTCTCTCTTGGGATAGTTGTGGAGCATTGGGATATGCTGACCTCTGCACCCACCCGGTAAGCAGGGAAACTGAAAGATTGTGCCTACAGCTCATTACATATTCTGCTGGAGCCGAACACTGATCCGACCTCATACATGTATGTCATTTAACCCTCACAACAAGCATCATAGTCAGGGAGGCCATAGAATAGACACCTTTAGCTGTGTGGTGGAGGGTAAGGAGAATGGGTGAGGCCCAGGTAGGTGGCAGGAGAAGTAACTCTGAGGGAGGAGGGGGACAAAGTGGGGAGGGATGACAAATTTGGGCTGCTGTGTATTGCAATGGGGTAAACTGAGTGGAGCTTTGCTCTCATCAGTTGAGAATGACATTGGTGCAAATGACTGAACACCAACGGGTTTAATTCTAAGATTACTGATTCACTGGGGCCAAAGGGGATGGCCTACTAATAGAGGAATTATTATTGGGTCGAGTCTTTGAATTCCATGAACAGTATAGTGGCCAGGAAGGGAATTAAAGGATATATTTGGGGAATGTCCTTTATCATTTACCTATTCATAAACCCTCACTTAACACCCACTGTGTGCCAGGAACTGCCCTAGGCACTGGCAATAACCTGCTTAGACATGGCTCCTGTCCTCAGGATGCTTACCATCTAGTGTGGAGAGACCAGGAGAAAAGCTGTCGGGACAATGCCACGTGCTGAGTGATCTGATGGGGTGGGGGGACACAGGGTGCTCCAGGAGCACTGGGCAGAGGTGCCTAACAGCTGCAAGGACATGGAATCACTGTGCACAGCAGAAGTCATTGAAGTGAGGCCTAGACCCCATTCCCCCTGCAGCCTCCTTCACCCTCTCCTGGCTCTAGGAATCCAGCTAAACTTCAACAACCACAAAGCACAACTTGAACTAACAGAAAAACCAAGCTCAATGTTGACAAGTAAAAAATATATGTTTTTGTCCTTATTTACAAGCTATTAAAACCTCCAAAATCTCCACTTCCATGGTCTGTGTCCAGTAGAGGTACCAGCTGCATTTTCTCCCTAATTCTCCCCACATATGAGTGGCACAGAGAGGACTCTCAACCTGGCTGTGGTGCCCACTGGACGGGGAGCATGGGTGAGGTTTCTACAAGGTTTGCAGGTGTCCTGCCAGCTGCACATGCACATTCCTGAGATGCTGCCATCCCACCTGGACCTCTGACCTGTAGAAGCCAAGGGAGACAGTCTGGGTGCCCACGGGGCAATTCTGGGCCTGGACATGTAATGCCCAGCAAGTGCATCACCGACATTTCATAACTTGATAATAGAAGGCAGGTCAGAGGCCAATTTGTTTAGAGGTGAAGAAACAGAGATCCTAAAAGCAGTCAGGAGAGTCAGAATTCCCAGTCAAGTGAGGAGCCCTCATGGTTCTCCTCCATGGCCCCACCCCTCCCAGATATCCATCCATAACCAGGTGAGGGTCGGACTCCTTCAGGGCTTGATAGAGTTTATGTTTGCAGTTCTTGTCCCAGGAGTTCCTGAAGCTGAACGGCATCCTCATCTTGGCTGGATTGGTGTGCTTAGCACGTACCTCCTGATACTGCTCATCACTCAGCACCTGTCCATATAGCTTGTACAGGACTCAGTCCACTGAAGTCAGTAGCACCACTAACTGCTCCCAATGCTGGTCCACAAAGTGCAGCTGAGCTGGGGCATCTGGGGGTGAAGATGAGGTTGGCAACAAATAAAAAAGAGTTTCCACTACCACTACAGCCTCTACTTCTGATACCTCACCTCTAACCCTGCACTCACCTTCTGCCTCCCTGGGTGCCCCCACCCTGTGAAAACATGGATCACCAGACACATGGTCCATGCCTCTGTCCCCCTCATGTCAGCTTCCAGCCCAGCCTTCTGCTGGAGTTGAGTGTGGGGTTGGGTTCATGATGGAGGCATTTGAGGTTGTTCTTTGGAAGGTGTCAGGATCTCCAAGGGCAAGATTACAGACAAGAAAGGATTTCTGCCCAGAGACACACTCCACTCTCCAAGGCCAGATGCCTGGAGAAGTTTGCAAAGGATTCCTTTCCTTCTCTTCTCCCTCCCCTCCAGGAGCAGAGAGCACACCCCAGACCAGCCATGGCTCCTGTGGTCTCCAACAGCTGCTACTGACCTATTTGGAATGCAGGGACCAGAGTAGCTTCAGGTCTGCGGTCTCCTGGAGCAAAATAGATAGGAAGAAGCTTCTGTGACAGTGGTAGTTATTAACACAAACAGGAAGCCTTTAAACTGCGACATGTGTATCACTGCTGAGATTACTGGGTTCTTAGAACAAGCTACAGACTCATTCTAACAGAATTTAGGGAAAGATTGTAGGTGAGTCCATTGCTCAGGCATATGGGGAAACTGAGGCCCAGAGGCCATGCTAAGAGAGATAGAGAAAGAGAGAGGGAGGGAATAATTTCTACCTGAACACTGCGGACATGTTTTACTTTAATGTTGGCCTGAATGGAACCCTGGGGGAGGAATAACCGAGTCCTTGGTAGATAGTTTCAACTGTGAGATCTCATTTTCTGAGTGGAAGTCAACCTCCTTGTTCCAGTTTGGCCTTCTAGACTTATACTGTTTTTCTTTTTCTTTTTTTTATTGTTCAATTACAGTTGTCCTCATTTCCCCCCAATTACTCTCCTCTGATCTACCCACTAGGGGTTTACTTTGCACTGTATATTTTAGATTTGAGGTCAGAATCAAGAATCAATATGAAGAAAATCTTAGCGCTGGGAGTAATGTGTCAATTTCAATTGGAAAAACAAACAACAGTAACCAGGAGTGAACGTGTTACAATTACATGCAAAGAAAAAGAAGAAGTGAAGGGCATTACAATTACTTGCATAAGGAGAAGATGCGTGAGTCTACAGCAGCTCCTGTGGACACCACCTGGGAGTTTGGGCCACTCAAGTTCAGTGTGAGTGGACAGTGTGGGAGGTGGGCTCAAGCACAGGGGAGCTCCTGCTTGGTGCTGGGAGCACTGTGTCCGTGTGGATGGAGAGAGAAGGATTTCCATGTCCTCCATGTTGACTGGATGGTCTTAGAGTCCATCCAGACTCATCCTCAAATGGGCACATCTGCTGAGCAAGGTGGCTGGGATGGCAAAGTTTTGAAAAACCAGAATATAAGAGGAATGATGGATGGGATTAGAGGTGTTTAACTTATACAGTAGGAGACTTAAGGGAGGCCAGGGTCGGTCTGTAGGCATGCGAAGTTTTTCTTCTGGGGATGGAGTAAGAACCTCTGTCAGCTATAAGGGCCAGAACTAAGTCTGAAGAGAGAAAGACACTGGCTTACTATGAGAGAAAATAACAATATTACTCTACGTATGAAGAACTACAGCATGAGATAACATATTCAATACATCAATAGTTTAATTTTTTCTTTAATAGTACAAGTTAGATATTATGGTCTTCATTTTATAAATGAGGAACTGGAGAGTCAAATGAGTTAAGTAATTTCCCTCAAATCACCCAGCAAGTAAGTGCCAGAGTGGGATTCAAACCGAGGTCTGATGCTGGGACTGGTGATGCACACCTGTGATTGTGCCCAAGTGAGACTGAGTAAAACCCTTCCCTTTCTCCACACCTGGAAGCTGAGGTAGCAGCTCAGGAGGCAGATCCAACTTCTACTATTTCAACAGTAGAGAAGTGTTAGTTATACCTTAAAGAAATGTTTAGGGCACATTCTTGGGGGAGTCAGTGCTCATTTAAGGATTGTAAAGTGTGGTTCATTTCTGAAAATTTTTTATTTAATTCTTGTCTACCATGAGGAAGCTTAAGGACCCTGGGTAGAGTATCTGCTCTTGCCAAACTTGGCTTAATTCATACAATCATATTATCATCCCATTCTTATTCTTTCAACTCACATCCATCCATTATGAGAAAATTTGCCAGAGGCTTTATGGGTATCAAACCATGTTAACACAGGGCAGTGTGGAGACATGAAGGTGCATGGGAGAGGGAATGGAGTTCAGAGTCAGATTATCTTCAGTTTAAATACTGGTCATGCTATTTTTATGTAACTAGAAATTTTAACTTCTCTTGGCTATTCTCATCAGCAAGTTGGAATAATATAAACTCTCTCTCTCTTACACACACACACACACACACACACACACACACACACACACACTATAACTACTTTCTGAGCTCCCTGCATTTATCTTGACTTTACCTGGTTTCACCAAGGTCTCCCACAAGGAAGAGTTCCATCTTCCTTGTGTCTTAGGTACAGCCTGATCTTTGACCTCAAATGCCCAACATGTAAGTCAGAGAAAAGCTGGGTTTCCACAGGGCTCTGATAGCAGAGCTCCAGTTCCTGTAGGAGGAGATATTGTGTGAGAAGCCACCATTCATCCTGCAAGTCAGGTCTCTTTCCACCTGACATCTTCTTGGTCCTGCTCAGCCCCAGGGAAACTCTTAGATGGTCTGTACTGAAATTAATCACCAACTCAGGCTCTACTCCTTTCCTCCTCTCCCACGAATTCTGACCCAGAACAAAGAGGACACAGCTGGGTGCCCCATGGAAGAGTCAGGACTCATCCGCAGTGTAGTGCTCACACACCCTAAACCAGATCTTTCTCCCTTCGTCTCCCCCATCATGACCCCAAATCCTCATTTCTCCAGCCCACAGCCTGTTTTCTCGATGGATCCTGAGAATTTCAAACCTGTTCCCTCTGTAGTTAGCCCGAACTCATTAGGTGACACTGCAACCCACTGAGCACTCACGTTCCTACTTAAGCCTCATACCTACCTCCTACCTTTCTCTCCCAACAGGACTCTACCAAGTCCTGTAGGCTCTTCCTCCAATCTGTCCCTGAATCCATCAACTAATCTTTATCTCTGTGGCGGGAGAAGGGCCAAGACCCTTTTCCTCAATGGCCTTTATTGTGTTCCTTTACACAGGAATTCAGGTAAAGCTCATTATTCATTGCTGGGAAGTAAAGATAAAATAACAAGGAACTCTGAGGGCCTATTTTGAGTCAGGGTCAGATAGCTAAAGAGCTGTAAAAACTTTAAGGAACAAATTTACTTATTCCTTGGACCCTTATCATTCAATTGAGAGCATTCTAAACAAAGCAGTTTTCACAGGATTTTACATTCTTTCTTAGGCCTGATCACCCAGGGAACCTGCCCTTTCCAGCACAGGGCTGCATCACCCTCTGTCATTGTTTCAGGCTTAGGTGGAGCAAGAGAAGTAAGGCAGCCAAGAGATTAGGAGATTTTCTCGCAGACAATGAGGACTCAGGCTGTGTCAAAGCCGAAGGGGGAGGATCCATCATCCCCTTTTGCTGTAGCCCCCAAAGTCCTTCCTCGGGGGGCCTCCCACATGATCATGCCTGTCTTAGGTCGTTCCCCTCTTGGGGAATCTTACCCGTCATTGGCTAACTGACCAAGCATTGGGGGCCAGGAAGAGTGAAGTAAAAGGAGCAGAAGTGGTGCTCCTGCCAGGGAGATAAGCTTTTGTCTCCTTGGTGGCTTATGGTCCAAGGTCATTCCCTCAGCCTTAGCCTAGGCGAGGGTTACAGCTTCTGATACCAGGTAGGGCGGTTCCCAACACATCTCCACTGCTACCTCCCTAGTCAAGCCTCCATCAGCTCCTGCCTGCCCTATACCAATAGCCTTTTGACTTTCTGTTTTCACTCCTAACTTCTTATCACCCATTCTTACCCAGCAGCCAGAAGCATCTGCATGAAACTAAATAGCTCTCGTATTACAAGTCAGACCTTTAAGAAATTGTCATTACACGTGGAACAAAATCCAAACTCCACACCAGAGCAACATGATCGATGGGCCCCAGGAGATCTCTGTCTGTTGTGTGACCCCATCCACCTCCTCTCTTTGCTGCAGTCATTGAGCTCTGCCACACTGACCTCCAATTTGTCACTTGGAGGTGTCAAGGGTGCCTGCTCCTCTACTTCTGTTCCTGTAGGACGCTACCACAGATGTCCCCCCACCAGAACCCTTCTTGTCACTCTTACACACTCTTACAATCTGGCCCACGTGCAAGGCCAGATTATGGTCTCAGCTCAGATGTGGCTACCTCAGTGATACCTCCCAAGACACAACTTCCCAGATGACCTGGTGTATAGTAGCCTGAGTTACATTCTCATATGGTCTGCTGTGTTTTCCCACAGTGCTTTATGTTTTTTGTCACTAATCCTTCAATTATTTATTTAGGTCTCAATCCACCAGGGTGTCATGATGCCAAGGGCAGGGCCTTCTCTGTCTTGTTCAATGACTGTCCCAACTGCAGCCAGCATGTAGTTGGCAATCGGTAAATGTTTGTTGATTGACTGAGTCATGTCTCTCCTCCCTTGTTAACAACCAATACAGCAGGAAAATGTAGTGTATTCATCCTTGGATTCATGTGTCCCCACTGGAAGGACACACATCACCCCCTCCTGACCACTGCACATCCACTCCATCTGCCATCTCCACTTAGGAGAGTTTGAGCACTCATCTGAGAACAGGAGGGAAAAGATTGACGCTGGTTCCACTACAGACTGTCTTTCAGTGGACACTCTAACTCTGAGCAGCATAGTCTGGGGTGCGGTGAAAATGGGGATATCACAGCTGAGTGTCCAGTGCCCTGACCGCCTCCACCTCTGGTGAGAAGTAGAGACAGAGAGGACAAAGGCAGCCCCCGAGGTCCAGGAGCTGGTCTGATGCTCACAGCTGGACCTCAGTGTTGTTAAAATGAATCTGTGCTGCCACCCTGGCCGTGCTGTCCTCCTGCTAGACACACACAATCTCCAAGTGTCCCTTTCAGACGGGGTGCTGGGCAGCCCACAAAATGACAAACACCATCCCACCACTCTGAACTTGCTACTGCTGCTTCATAAATTATGGTTTGTGCTGGCTGAGTCTGCCCTCCCCAGAGACAAAGTCACTGAGGCTCCCAACGACCGAATTTCCCTGCCCTTTGACAACAGCACGTTGAGAGCAAACCCCCATTTCCTTGGATCTTCCTCCAGGCTACCCAGCCACATCCCAAATCAGAAATAGCTTCTTTCTGAGACCCTGTCCTGAGAGGCCCACGGTTCCCACTGGTGTGTGTTCTCAGGCTGCAATGAGAACGGACCTAGTGTGTTCACTATGGGTGTGTTCCTGATGCTTGTACTTGGAGAGCATCAACTCTCTGGACTCCAACCCTTCTCAGTTTCCCTAAGTCCACCCTGTTCTTGTTCTTGTCCTGAATGTGACCCTCACTCCTACCAGCTGTCTTTCTCCCAATCTTTGAAGCCTTCCCTCTCACCCCAAACCCCACTAGCTGTCAGCTGTACCCCAAATGGGCCTGTCCTGGGAAAGCCTGAGACCTGCCCCAGAGCTATGCCCAAGCATGACCTCTGACCTCAGGGAGGGGGAACACTGGGGCTGCTCACCTGAGAAATTACTTCCATCTCCTGTGAAGCAGACACAGTGTATCGGGAGCCCACATAGAGTGAGCTCAGCGGAGGCGGCTTGTGTAGTTGCACAAACTGGAAGGTCTTTTCTTCATCATCTATGGCCTAAGGAGCACAGAGAACACTGATCAGGGAGGACGGTCTGGATCTGGCTCAGAGATTCTGCCCTGTGGAATCCTGTCTGAGCAAAGTGAGGTGGTGCTTCCACAAGTTTCTGTGTATGGAGGAGGCTATACCCTCCATGGCATATTGATGCCCTGCTTACCTGCACCCCCCACACCCTGCCCCGCCCTGACTGCTACATGGAGAGGCCCACAGTTTGCCTCTGCCATGTGCAGGACCAGATTTATGGCAAGGATAAAAAAGAAGTGAGGATGGAAGATGGGGACAGCCCTGGGTATGGAACCCCCCTTCCTCTGACCCTGGAGAGAGGCTGATGAAGTGTGAGTGACGACTGATGAGTGATGTGTCCATGGTGAGTGAGGGAGCAGTGAACCTGGCTGAGGTAGGACTTAGGGGCCCAGGAGACCAGTCCATGGCTAAGGAGGGGCAGGATTACTCATATCTTTAAATTTTCCTGCTCTTTAAGAGGTTAATCGTATGCCCAGCTGACCCATCGAGAGGGCTGTGTGGGTGCCTGTCTGTTGGGAACCGCCCTGACTGGTATCAGAAGCTGAAACCCCCGCCTAAGCTAAGGCTAAGGGAACGCCCTTGGAACTGTGAGCCAGCAAGGAGGCAAAAGCTTGTCTTCCTGGCAGGAATGCTGCTTCTGCTGCTTTATTCATAACTGAACCCCAAAAAGCTTGGTCGGTTAGCCAAAGATGGGTAAGATTCCCCACAGGGGGAACGACCTAAGCCAGGCACGATCACTTTGGGAGGCCCCCCAAAAGAAGGACTTGGGGGGCTGCAGCAAAAGGGGGTGATGGACCCTCACTCCTCAGCTTTGACATAGCCTGAGTTCTCAGCGTCTGGAAGAAAATCTCCTTATCTCTCGGTTGCCTTAGTTCCCTTGCTCCACCTAAGCCTGAAACAATGACAGGGTGGTGCAGCTCGGTACTGAGAAGTGCGGATTCCCCAGGGTGATCAGGCCTAAGAAAGAACATGTAAATTACTGTGAAACCTTCTTTGTTTAGAATGCTCTCAGTTGAATGAGAAGGGTCTTAGGAGGAAGTTATTTTGTTCCTCAGTCTTACAGCTCTTTGACCCCCAACTCAATAGACTGGCAGAGTTCTTTGTTTTCTGTAGTTTCTTACTTCCCCCGAATGAGTACTGTACTTTACCTGAATTATTATGCAGAATGAGCCCAATAAAAGCAGGTATGGACTGTAAATCGGCGCTCTCCCCACTGGGGGGGGTGGCCATTTCGTCCCTACTTCCCCACAGAAACTAGTCTGTCTCTGTGCATGTGTTGTTTTTTCTCACGTGTTTATCGTCGAGCCATCCACAGCGTTCCGTGGTCACTGCTGGCCGGTGACCCACGCGCAACACCTGTCATGTCTCTGTCAGCCCACCCTGGCCTGGCCTTTCTGGTTTGGTGCCACCTTGCGAATGGAGCAGTCATTGGGAATCAGGTAGAGGTGGAAGGTCACTTCCTCATGCTGGAGGTGATGGTAGAACACACATTGGAGGTGATGGGAATGGGCAGGACAGCGTGGATAATTCTCAGTAGAACTCCGATGGGGGAGAAGCTAGGGTTCTCCAAGACTGCATAGTGGGGCTCCATCCTGGCTGGCTTCTCCAGGACTATCCCCTCCTCTTTCATGTGGGCCACTTGGAACCAGGACATGTCCATATTTTTTCCTGAAAAGAATGGATTTGAGAAATAAGGATTTAATGCCCTCATGGAGTCAGGCTTTGCAGGGGAGGTGTGGCCCTCAGGTGCAGGCTCAGTGGCCTCCCAGAGGAAACCAGCTAGGAGAGATGGAAGGACTGGGCCTGGGTTTTATTGTAGCTGCTGGCACAGGTTCTCTAGAGAGGGAGCACCTCTGATAGACCCTCAAGCTAGACCTATACTCAGTTCTTGGTCCTGGATCTGGGAAACGTATTGACCCATGGTTACCTGTGCTGGATTCTGTAATAATGAGGTCTGTTGAGTGAAGTTTGCAGGCCTGACTTCTCACAGGTAGAGAACAGCAAGGAGAAACTAGAGTGGGGAATGGAGTGTACATGGGTAGTGTACCTTTGTGGAGTGTTTGTCGTGAACCCTTCAAATCCTTCTCTTCTAGAAAGAACCAGCTCCGCCCTCATTGTGTGGGTCTTGGCAGGACTCAAGCTTGGTCTTCCACTTGGGAAGCTGCTGCTGCCATGAAGAAATGACAGAGGTGCGTGACCAGGATTTGACTAAGTGAATGCTCCTAACCAGGACCTTGATCTAGAGGTGGTGACACACAGGTAAAAGGATAGAGGTTCTTTTGGCAGCAGCCATGGATTCAAGAGTCCAGGAGCCACCGTGGCAGGAGAGATCTGCAAGGGCTGTGTCTGCAGCAGATGTCTCCCCGTTTTGCTTGTGACAGCTTTGACTTCTCAGCATTTTTGTTCACCACCTTTTTTTTTTCTTTGTCTGGTTGCCTAATCATGGTTGCCTAGTCATTTGCTATGACTGTGAGCTATTCAATATACTCTCTAGGCATTCCTTCTCTGAGTAAGTCAGCAGTTTTGGTTTCTTTGACTGCAGCCTAGATCTCTGACCAGTGCACCAGGTGTGAACCTTGATGCCACAGGGAGAGCTGGAGGGATGAAGGCTGGTAGTGGGAGAGACACTGGCCCAGGTGTCAGGAGACCTGGCTCCATCCCTGCATTGCCAGGAGACTGCTACATTGCAGGAAGTTTATGGGCATCTGAGGGATATACAGGAAAGGTCACAGGCACTCATTCTGCATGGGGACCAATGGGAACATTGCTGATTTAATTGCCTGAGGGGCTGTGGAGACTGCTACTCAAGTTTTCTCATTTATTAATTGCTTTTTTGTATGTGAAAAATACTACTACTGTGGTGTACACCGCCTGATGAAATGCAGAAGAATTTACCTCTTATCTCTCCAAGCAGAACAACTGTCATTACCATCTTTCCCTGTCTCATGAGTCTTTCTCTGTAGCAGCACCTCTTCGTGTTTCCATCACAGCAAGGAGCTTTGTTTCCTGTCTTTCCCATGCTGGTTTGAATGGCCACAAGCCCCAGCAGACCTTTCCAAGGGCTGCAGCATATGATTCCTGCTAGTGATGCAGCATCCCTGGTTTACCGCTCCCTTTTTGTTTCAGCACTGAGGTTGCTTCCATGTTAAACAGTCCTGCGGTGCACATGTTTCTGCAGAGAACTTTTCCATTTCCCTTGGGGTAGCACCTTGGAATTGATAAATCCCAAGAGAGGCAAAAGGTGTGTGAAAGGATGTAAACATTTCTGTGAGTTGCCATATTTTGCACAGTTGCTTCTCTAAGAGGTGGTGTACTTGACACTGCCATGATGATACTCAGTGGATGAGGTCGCCTTGCTCTTCAGGGAATGAGAATGTCCTCAGGTGTCAGATGGAGGAACTTAAGCCTTGAGCCCTCCGGAGCCTTGGGCGAGAGCTCTATACTCTGACCACAGTCTGAGGCCCTTGCAGGCACTCTGTGCCTTGCTACTGTTGGCTGAATTCTAGAAGGTGCTGTGTGTGCATCCACCTGGCTTTCTTGCTGTGGTGACCAACTGTGTGGCTTGCCTGGGACTGAGAGGGTTAAGAACTTTATGTAGGATCTCACCAAAGAAGTTAAAAAAAAAGTCAGCCAGTGCCCAATTCCTAAATGAGGCCACTGCTGGGCCCTGAGGTCTTTGTTTCCAGGAAAGCAGCAGCTTCAGCCAAGGTGGAGGCAACAGGGAAACCTCGAAAGGACTTGGTTTTCTGGCTGGGCCTGGCTCAGTGAGCTGCAATGAGACTCTGCATTTTTGTGCAGTATCCCAAGAAAACAAGTCCTGTCTGGTTACAGGGTGAGGCCCAGAATGTGGCCTAGAGAAAGCTGGTGGACATGGGCTCGGGCAGACCCCAGTGAGTGTGCATGGATCTGATTTTCCTGGTGGTCACATACCTGGGTTAGAATCCCACCTCTGGTCCAGCATCTTCACCTCTCTGTGCTTTGATTCTTCTTTTGTATAATGAGGGAAGCCATAGTTTGTAACTCACTGTATCATTAGGAAAATGAAGATGATATGAATATTCATGGAGCTGCCTTGCATGATATCAGACAAAGAGTGCTCAGTAATTGTGCACAGTTGAAATCAGGAGCCAAGTTTCAGGGGCCCTCAAAGGGAAGTGCCACCACTTGGTGAATTCATTCCTATCCTGATATGACCTTCAGTCCCAAAAGCTTAGGCTCAATTCCTTGTGTTGGACAAGTTCTTTTTACTTGGGCAAATCTCATTTCTCAGGCCAATCAGATGGAGGTAAAAGGCTGACCAGGGCAAGGCTAAGGTGTCCTCATCACAGGGAGGGGCCAGCTCACCCACCCTTGAGACAGTGGTGTGACTGGGGGGCTGGGAGCAGGAGCCGAAACACATTTGTCCTCTCAGACCCTGTTATATTCTGGCTCCAGGCCTTACACACAGGAGGTCTGTCCTGGAAAACCCTGGTGTGAGCAGGGAGTGGTGGTGTAGCCCCAAGCTTCCCAGGCCAAGAGTAGGCCAGGTTCTCTCAGTGATGGTCAGAGCTGAACATAATGACTCCATTGGCCAAGTGTCTGTGTCCTGAAAGGGCCCTGGAGATGTCCAGGGCAAAGTGCCTTTGGCACTTTATAGAAGGAGCAGGATATTTGTTGTGGAGGCTTATTCATCAGTCTATAGATGGTCAGGTGGGAGGAAGTTACCTGTCTCAGCTTGTTGTCAGAGCCCTCAGCACCTGCTCCTCAACTTTCCCATGTGAGTGGGCCTCTACAGCCCCTGAGCTACCTTGTGCCTCCCTCCCCACTGTTTCACTCCCAAATCTTCCCCAGTTAACTTTCCCTAGTGATGCTAGGTCAAGCCAGACACCCCGGGACCCTTGGGTCTCTCCCCTGGGGACTGGCCTCTGCTCCTCCTGAGGAGCAGCTTGAATTGACGGCTAGACTTTGTGGCCTCAACACAGGAGCCTCCCCTGGGTCTGGACAGCTATTTTCTTTAGTTTTTCATCTGTTTTTCTTTCTACTAGTTTCTGAATGATTGTCCTTAATACATATATTTTTTGACTGAGGACTCGAATATTTTAAAGTGTATACTTAAATTCTGAAGTAAATCAATTCCTATACATAGAAGTGATACTAAATATATTTAAATACTGGAGTGGAAGAATAATTAATACATCAGTCTATAGAGTCACATGCTGCTTAACCACAGAGATGCGCTCTGAGAAATGCACTTTTCGGCAATTTTGTCATTGTGTGAACTTCAGAGAGTGCACGTGCACAAACCTAGATGGCACAGCCTGCTGCACAGCTAGGCTCCAGGGAAGGCCTCCCTCGTATACGTGGTCTGTCAATGAGCAAATTGTTGTTATGGGTGAACGACTATAAATGAAACATTAGAAATATATCCTCCTATATTACCTAACCTATGCATATCATAAGGGTGCTTACCTTATGGCATAAGCTAGAACATGAATTGTTAATTGTTAATAAATCATTCTGTCATAATTCAATAAAGTTCCTGTCTGAGTCCTGATTGACAGGGGAACCGCATCAGGTCCTTCTCACTGTGTCACTAAGTTGACAGGCATGAGGCGTCTGGCAGCCAGCACTGGCTGGCTGTGCATCTGATGCCTCTCATGGCCTGGACTGGACAGCCTGAGCCATAGCCCCTGCCCCTAACACTGCTCCTGCTGCCCATGGGCTCAGACTCTGCTGCCCACCCCGGGGCAGGAGCAGAGATGCTGCCTCAGCCACCCTGTCTGTGCTGGCACAGGCGCAAACTCCGTTCTGTGCCTCTGTGGGCAACACTGGGCGTTGTTGTCAGGTCACTTGTGGTCTCAAAAAAATGGAGGATTCCTCTTTCCTGATGAGTCTGGAAGTATTTCAGCACTTTAACCAGGAGGGCAGGGGTAGTGCTGCCTTCACCTCCTTGTGAGTGACACTAGGACCTTCGGGCCGCTTCAGCAGTCTTACTTGCTGTTGGTATTGGCTTTTAGTTCTCTCTCTTTTTAAATACCCCCCCACTTTGGACGTTGTTATTGCTGCTTTATCTCCCAGTCTTTGGTTTGAGTTATCCAGATGTGTCTCCGTGTGTTGGCGGATCATTTCATCTCGCATCTCACACCTTCCAGATGGGGTCACTTTCCTTTTTCCTGAGACACATCCTTTAGGATTCCCTTAGTAAGGATTTGTTCGTGGAAAGCTATCTTGGCTTTGGTTTGTTTGCAAATGTCTATTTTTCACCTTCTTTAAAATTTTTTTTAACTAATTTTTTGGGGATGTCAATTGTTAATAGGATCACATAGGTTTCAAGTGTTCATTTCTGTGATAATAAACTGTATATTGCTCTGTGCACCCACCACCTACAGTCAAACCATCTTGGTCACCAGATATTAGCCCCCTGCACCCCCACTCCCTTGCCTTTGGCAACCACCACAGTGCTGTCTGTGTCCATGAGTTTCAGTGTTATATTCCACATGTGAGTAGAGTCATATGGTTCTTAACTTTTTATGACTGACTTATTTCACTTAGCATAATATTCTCGAGGTTCATCCACGTTGTTGCAAATGGCAGTATGTGTGTTTTCTTGTGGCTGAGGAGTATTCCATTGTGAATATGAGCCACATCCTTTTCATCCAGTCCTTTATGAAAGGACACCTTGGTTGTCT